GCGTTGTGCTGCTCAGCCATCCTTTCAATGGCATGCCGGCGCCAGCGAGTGCTGTTGCTACGTCTGTGGATGGTCAGCAGCAGCAGCCAGCTGGCTCTGCTGTCCCCCAAAACTCGACAGGCGACGGTCCCGTATCCAGCGCAGGAGACGACGTGCACTCTGCCCTACTGGATCTGGGCCGCAAGCACTATAAATGGTACTACTCGACTCCGTCTGCCAGCGCCGATATGCTCCACCCTCCCGGAGCGGAAGGGCTTCATGGCTTCCTGCGGGGGTATTTCCACCTCAAGAGTGGTCGCTGGAAAGGGAATGAGCCACGCACGTTGACCGGCTGGGCCGCCGACGAGCTCGCCAAAATGCCGTACTACTATGTCATGCCAGCGGACGCGACGATGCCTGAGGCGGTAGAGCTACACATGCGCAAGGAGTCTGAGGAAGGGTTGCGGGCCTCTCGGGAGTGGCTGCCCGACGAGGATCTCGCGGTGTACGTGAGGGAATACCAGCGGACAGGGTTCCAGGGGGCTTTGAACTGGTACCGGGTGCAGACATCCAAAGGGAGGCAGTACACCTGGGACGCGGAGGTGTTCATGGGGCGAAAGATCGACATTCCCTGCACGTTTGTGTCAGGCAAGCTCGACTGGGGGATCTACCAGCAGCCTGGCGCCTTGGAAAAGATGGCAAATGGAGAAGTATGCAGTGACTTTCGCGAGATGCGATTGATTGACGGGGTGGGACATTGGGCGCCTCAGGAGAGTCCAGAGGAGGTAGTCCAGGCGATTTTGAGCCTAGTCGGTAGTCTATAAGTACTCGGTAGGGTACCGTAGAGTAGAACTATCTGACATGATGCGGCCCGTTCTCCTTCGAAAGCCGGCCTAAGGCGAACCACGTGCATCCTGGTCTGCCTTGGCAATTGCACACTCGGCTAGTCGGACAAGCTCGGTGGTGAAAGTATTCAGAAAGTGCCCGTGGAAGATAACACCAAGGGTAGGTGTTCGAACCGGCACTTTACGCATCAATTTAGGAACGCCCCGCAGAGTTTTCATAAGACCGGAACCTAGGGGGTTCTTGAGGATAGCGCGAAACAGCGCTAGGACTGCAGTGACTGCGTAGAATATAACCACCCTATCGATTACGGTCAGCAACCATTCCCGTCTCGTGCAGAGACGCAGACACAAGCACCCACCAGAAACATTCTCCTGCCAGAACAGGCATCGCGACCTCGAGGAATGAAAGCGTCGACTGATTGACATTCGTGACCAGCATGGCACTAGAGACTAAATCCCTTATCTGGCAGCCACGGCACCTATCAATGGCTTGATGGATGAGTGCGACGCAGTGATAGTATGCTAGCCGCAACATGATTGCCTGTGTGTTTAGGCCGCGACTGACCGGCGTTTCGTCGTGGAAAGACAACGTGGGCCGGATATCCGGATGTAAGCTCTGTCTCCATTGTTCCAGCTCTTGATCCAGAATCCGGATGCTCGATAATATCTCAGAAGCCGGCTTCTTCGCAGCATTTATGGAATAGAGAGCCTGATAGACATTCGACTTGATCATCGAGAGTCGAAGGTCAAAAGGGAAAAGAGGGAGTGTGTCATCGGTATTCGACCTGGTCTCTCGTTGCATATTGGACTCTTGCAGCCGCGCATAGTCGATAGGCAGAGTGAGGTCACAGTGAGTGTCATTGATACATGGAGGCTGCCCAATTCTCAAGCAAATGTCTTTATCAAATGAATAGCAAAGCCAGAAAAGATCGCGCAGGTGGTGCTCAGCTACACTTTTATGATAAGTCCTGTCACATGGTGACATTGTGTGAGCACGGAGGCTGAATAGAAGGCGGCTGGCTATCGACACGGAAACTGCAGCAGCCTGCAAATCACCCAGGAAGTATTGATGCTGGATCTAAGTGGCAGGTCAGCTGATAATCACACAAGATGCAAGATTCCCAGACGGGAAGCTCTCGACTTACAAGCATGATAATGGACTGCAGACCGCTGAGAGTCATCTCACAAACAAGACTAGCCATAAAGCCCTGCGCAGCCCGGGCATAAGTCTCGCAATCATGGGCTTCAACCAGATTGCCATTCAGCCCGAAGAGGTATATCACCGAGAGAAAGGCATACACGCATGATTTAGCACTATCGGAGCCGAAAACATCGGTTGGTCCGTAGGCGAGATCCAGAGTCTCTGTAAAGAGTGCCTTGCTGATTACCGGAAAGACGCGACTCTGGTAGGATGAGCAGTACACTTTAACATACTTCTCGACGACAGGCCGGGAAGGAAGTTCCGGCGACGAAGAATGGGACCTGGCGCCAGAACAAGGGTTTGACCATGGAAGCTCAATTGCGTAAAGTTTCGCGTGGTCAACCGTCTCACCAGTGCAGGATCCGATCCAATTTTGCTCTTCCTCTGGTGTCATGAATACTCCGTCATTAAAAGCCATGGTCAAAGTAGCCCTTGCTGCAGTACCTGAGTAATCACTTAGTCTGTGACTCGGTGCTCAATATTGCTCGGATGGAACTGACTGTTACGAGCAGACACGAGATTCAATTTGGCAGCATCCTCCCATACGGTATCGCGACCAGTACTTCTGGAGAGGTGGATTAGACCATCTGGGATGTAGAGTTGGAGCTGATGAGGGAGATTCAGGCGCAATTTCGACCTACTTTTTAAGCCTTGTATATGTGCAGGCAAGGTTATGGTGGAGGCACCAATTGCACTGCGGGGATTCTGCATCGCATTGTATCTAAGAACTCATTAGATCAAAGTACAATATTTCTGGCCATGGTATCGTGGGAGCTGGGGAAAGAGAATCAACAAAGACCTTTTTCTTGAAGCATGAGTCGCAGGCTGCGCGTCGTGGCGCCTTAGGGACCTTGGGTGTCTTTGAGACTTTGGTCACCTTGGATTGCGATGCCGTCGATTTAGATCGCGCACTAGCCCTAGTGGTTCTGGCCATTTCGAAGGCAATGACACAAAATACTGACTTGACACCGAAAGTGTACTGAGTTGATTTACGCGATGTTGATCCGGGCTCACTGCCGAAGCCGAAATTTCGGGTCACGCTTTCCTGCCATTCTTCGTAGCCGTCCTTGCATGTAAGGCACCGACCCGGTCAGGGCAGCAGTCCTACATTGCATTCTTGCTCCAAGGAAGGGCTGAGAACAACTACCTAATTATCTTGAAACGGCCAGCAGAGCTATTGTCTTAATGATCTATACGCTACATAACTCACTAACTAATTAATGCTGAGCACGCTGACTAAGCAAACAACATCAACCCGGTATATCAGTCTGATGTGTCTGATGCACTGTCGAGTGATTCGGAGCATAATATCATGGCAGAGCTTTTCACCGCTCGATAAAGACAGATATCAGACATCGGTCTGGCCGATGATTCACTCAGAAGGATCCCCGATCCCGTCGGGTCAGTGGTCCATCTGGATTATGGTGCGATTAATCGCAAGCCCAAGTAGAACTGCCCAGCACATAACATACAGCATCTCATTCTCAGTAAAAGTACACAGGGCGTCCAAAAACACCCTCATAATCTCAGCAATCAAGCCTTGAGTAGTCACCTCATACAATACAGCGAATCAAACACCGAACCTGAACTCCCGGACCTTCTTCTGGTAGTAGAACGACGCCAGCAGACCGGTGGCACCGAGGACCAGAGGCATGGGGGCCCGGGCCTTGGTCTTAATGATCCTAGGGATGGCCGAGCCGAGCAGGAGGATGCTGTTGCCCAACGCAAGCTCCGTGCCGTAGTCCTTGTTTTCCTTGATCAGGTAGCCTGGGACCGGTCAGTAACAAGCTTCGGACGGAATACTCAAGTCTTGTAGCAGAAGAGCAGCGCAGACTCCCTGCGGAGAACATACCAGCGAATCCATAAGAAAGACCCAATCCCACGCCTGCGATCAGGGAGGGCTTAGAACCAGTTCGCATGAACCCGGCGATACCGCCGGCGGGCACTAGGTGGCTGTTAGTGGTCATTGACTTTCGCACCCCGCATATTGTGAGCAACGTACAGAGAGCCGCGAGAGTGAAAGAAGGGTGTTCGGCCATGATGAAAGACGGTTCGACGAGAAAAGACAAGGTCACGAACTCGGTTTGTTGTCAATGGCAGGTCATGCAATGCCGAGTGGTATTTTAAGCTGTCCGAGGGGGCCGTGGGCTAGTCTGGATGCAGTTAGTTTCGGGAAGAGACCAAGAGCGAACCCCGATTATTCAGCGGAGGCCTGCAGTGTTGAACAGCCCGTTGAAAGAACTGTATTGAGAAAGAGAAATATCCATTGCTAGGAATTCGGCTCAGAACTGAGCTGGTATATGCGGAGGCTCAGAGATCGACAGATATACAGCGGACTCGAGATTCTTATGAAATGCATTGTGTTGCAGTGAGCAGCGGGGTACGCGCCAGCTGTCAAAGCACCGAGATCTTGTTAGTCAGATTCGACAATGCCTTGAAATGAGTTCTCGACAGAGTCGACTGCTCACTGCACCGGTGCATTATGCTGTTGAAATTCCAGAAAATCGCATAGAATCGTCATGCGCCGAACACAAAATACCTGCACAACAGGAGCGCAGGAACAACACCCAGCCACTTTACCCACGCAGTGTAAAGGGTAACTTAAATACCAATTGCAAAGATGAGACATGCACTGCTCTGCAGATCGCTACTCGCGCTCATCTAAGACAAGTAATTGAGACAAATCAAGTCATTGTTGCATAGATCCCGATATACTCAAGCTTAAGCTTAAGCCCAAGTTCCAGGTCAAGTTCCAGGCTGTACAGTACACTGAGTACAGCGTACCCCACCCGCCAATCCCCCCTCCCCCTCCCTCCCCACTTCCACGGACGGCCTCCAAGCTCAACCACCGCCGCCCCGCATCTCCAATTTTTTTTTGGTGCTTGACACCGCAACACCGCAGCACCAGCAACCCCAAAACACCACCCCCTCCCCCCTACCACCCTTACACCCTACAATCAACATCAACAATCAAAATGCCACACACCTCCCGCAAAAAGAAGCCCACCACCAGCACCAGCACCGGCCCCACCAAACGAACCACAATCACCGACGCGACCGGCTGGACGCACGTCACGACGACAGGCAACGCCCACCGCGCGCATCGCCAACACCGTCCACAATCCCACCCACACCCACAACCACAACAACAAGAACTACTCACCCCGGCCGAAGCCCCCAAATCCCTCACCCTCCCCTCCCTCCTCACGCAATACCACACCCACCGGACCAAATGGACCGCCTCCACCACCGCCGCGACGCTGACCGCGACGGTGCGGCGGGAGTTTCGCCTCGAGCATGAACAACAACAAGAACAAAAACCAGCCCTACCAGAAACAACCCGAGAAGAACGGCAGACGCAAACAGAACCACGCCTGGAACCAGAACAAACACAGAGAACAGAACAAGGAGCGCAATCCACCACCCCCACCACCCCAAGAATAACCAATATAATCTGCATCGGCCTCGGCAGTCCGAGCGGCTTCCTGCGCGGGGGATGGGTGGATCGTCGCAGCGTCTCGCTCTACCAGCTCAATGCGTTGATGAGTGTGGTGGAGTGTTTGACTGGTATGCCATGCCTACAAGCCTACACCAATCCAAAGCAGCCCTCGCCCCTAAGGCCCTCCCCCCCAATCACAGCATAATCATCTACTACCAACACACAAATAAAAACTAACACATGAACAAAACCAGCGAATCAAAAAACATCCACAGTCCGAATCTACGCCCAAGATCCCGTCTTCAACGCGCTCGATCGCCAACTCCTTGCCGCCCTGGGGATCACCGTCGTGGAGCATCCGGACGGGTTCGGGAAGGTCAACTCAAATTCGCTGCTGTTCTGTCCCGGGGCGGAGAAGGCGCATCTCGAGGTGCTGCTGGCGCGGAATCCGGCGGGGGTGGTTGGTGGGCCCTTGGAGGATACGGGCTCCGACGGGATCGAGCGGTTCGTGGCGCGGACCGGGTCGGTGCGGTTGCCGCGGTTTGAGGAGCTGAAGGAGGCGTTTTGGGAGATGCGAGTCTATCATTATACCCAGCCGGTCGAGGAAGAAAACCGCGAAGACTGATGGGTGAGAAAGGAGTAGTGTGGAATACCAAACCAGGATTACATCTGGAGGGCACAACTCAATCAGGGCACGAGGACAGGCAAGTCTCCAGCAAACGCAAGTATAGATGATATTTGCAAGTAACTGTCGGTGGCTTAAGACCATCACTATCAACAAACTATATACAGACACCCTCAACAATCATCCTAGCTTGGCACGGGAGGTAACATGAACAGCCCCCCCCACCCAAACAGTCGAGGACAACACCGCCACCGTCACATCTGTGCAAAGAGATAAACAGGAAGCGCAAAACACCGCAAAGAGATTCAGAACAAGCCATTAGTCCGTGCATCGTTAAAACATGGTGTATGTCGGAGATTCGTGTGTACATCGAAAGACCCATGACACTAATAGTCGGGACTTGAATAGAGTGTAGTCGGTGGAAAGCGCGACACTTCATGTAGCGGTCTTGCCGCCGCAGTCGGGGATTTTCAGGCCTGGTTTCAGCTTGCGTGCTGCATCCATCAAACCCCATTTATCCTCCCATTCTTCGCCTTCGATGTTGTACTGAACCTTCCAAGGCTCATCAAAGGCCTCGAACCTGTGATCGGTTAGAATTAGGCACACGATAAGGAAAAGATTGACGTACCAGAAATACTCGGTCCCATTCTCCAAAGCCTGGCACACCCAGTCGGCCATGAATTGATTCATTTCGTCAACACCTGCTACAGCTCCCTGAGTATCATTTTCGCAGTTGTCGCCATCGCCACAATCATTCCCTCCACCGCTAGGCCAACCCACTTCCGAGATGATCTGCTGCTTGTTGGTGCCTGCAGTCAGCGGAGCATCGTGGTTTTGCCAGAAAGTCCAGGTCCAACTGGCTGCCTCGGTGGCTTTAACACCGCCAAAGAACGGATGGATGTTCGACATGACGAAGTCGGCTGCCTCAACCAGCTCCTGATTCCAATTGTCACCCAGGTCTGATGTCCCCACGGGGAGGTCGATGCTATTTTGCTTGAAGTGGTTTTTGACGTCAGTCATGTAGCTGATCAGGGTTGTCTGGGCAGTCGCAATGTCTGGGCCTGCGCGATATAGAGCTTCGTTCCCGATGATAGCTCCCTTGAAGATCGAGGTGTTGTTTGCGTCATCGATGATGTTGTAAAGCTGTTTGACTTGGCGCTCGCTCGTTGTTTGGTTGCTGTCAATCCACACACCCAGCCAAAGCTTCATGTCGGTCAACTCGAGGCGGTCGATAGCAGTAAGCACCATCTCTGTTTGGTTGCAATCGGTACCATATAGTCGGATCGTATTGGTCAACTGCGAGAGAACCGCGAGGTCGCGCGTGACATTGTTTTGGGAAGGAGGATACTTCAAGCAAAGCGGGTACTGCACTCCCCATGGCGTATAATCCACTCCCGGGAAGACCTTGTGCAGATTAGCATTATTCATCAAATCCTTGATCTCCGAAGAGTCTTTATCAAGCAGTCCATCAGACGAGTCCGAAGATCCGTCCGAGGAACCGCCTGAGGAACTGCCCGATCCGTCTGCTGCAGCCGAGCCATCGTGACTTCGGTTACCCAAAATGCCCCCGACAGCTCCCCCGACAATGGCAGCCACGATAATGAACGCGAGAGTGAGTCCCACAATCCACGCGCGCTTCCGCCGACTTGCTCCGGCTATCGAGCCAGCTCTCTGTCCTTTCTCGGCTGCTTCCAGCCCTGGGTCAGGAACCGGTCCATACGACGGACTGGAGTCTTTCTTCCCCCCAAACAAGCCCCTAAAACCACCTAGAAGCCCACCTGTAGCGGCTCCCCCAACGGCGGCAGCACCTGCTGTTCCGTTAAAGCTCTGATGACTCGACGGCGACACACCCTTCGGCGCCACGTTGACAAACCCATCGTCCCCGTCATCTGCAATCTCATCCGGATTGAACGTGAGCGGGTAGTTTTGCGTAGAATAAACCGATTGCCGTTGGTAGGGCCCTTCACTGAACGCCCCCACCCCCTGATAAGGACTATCTTGAATGCTGTGCTGAGAAGGCGCCGTAGTCGGCGTCAACTGTCCCGGGGCTGCACCCGCCGCGCCCAGCGCAACATTCGACCCGTAGGAATCGCGCGGTCGCAGGGTTTCTGAGCTGGCGTAAAAGGTGCCTTCTGAATGTGGCGGCGGTGCGGGGACATACGGATTCTCGGCGCCAGTGGTGTGATAATCTCGTTCTGCGGGGACATTGTACAATGGACCGGCTGTTTCCCTGAAAGCGTCAACACCACTCTGGCGGTCATGGGTATTAGCAACGCCAAGGGCGATACCACTGATGCCTCCGCCCACGGCCGAGGGCCCCATATTGTCAATCCCCGGCGTTGCGGTGAACTGCGTGCGTGTGTGCTCCAAGCTCCGACCTTCCGGCACCGGCTCTAAATTCCCGTCGTTGTACGTTTGACTGTGTCTCTGGTGTGAGGCGATAGTACGATTCATGTCCATGTCGCTGTAGTACCTGCTGTCTATAAGACGCCCCTCTTCTGGTGATGAACGCTGGCGGGAACCTGCGACCACCGCCCCGTCATCGCCCTCGCTGTAACTAGCAACCCGGTTCAGACCGGACATGGCTGTGAAAGAAACGACTGGTCACGCCAAGGTGGCGCCGGAAGGCTTTGTAGGAAGTAGAGCCGAGTAAAGAAGAAAATAAAAGCCTAGATAAGATAAAGATAGATGGAGGAGATGCCAGAGAGTTATATGAAAACAGGAAAAGAAACGCAGCTTTGCACAAAGCAAGGCGGGAGGCAACGGCTTGGCGGGCTGTCCTGAAAATAGCAGCACAATCAGGCAGGGACGAAGGAAAAGCAGCCGACAAGGTTTGGGTGTGAGCAGCGATGGGAGGTCAATACAATAATACTGGAGCGAGGAAGCGACTGAAACGAGAACAGCTGCTATGGGCAAGCGGGAACCACGGTTGCTCTTCTCAGATGACCATGGGAAAGTCCCAGGAACGATGGCGAACGATCATGGAAGGTAACAGCGATACGATTTCATGAAACCTAAATGGTCAGCGCGAGAAGAACCGTCTGGACGCATTCATACGTAGCGAACAAAATGCGGGAGATGGTTAGATGTCTTAGATGGGGTGACGTGAGGGGGAGGGGAGAAGAGAGAGGGAGGCAGCGGACGGGATTCCTCACATACCAATTCTAGATTGAATGTAATCGATTAGATGAATTAAGTAGGAAGAATCGTGAGAGGAAGAGAAAACAAGCGAGCTCGTATTATTGAAGGCATTACCGCATGCATCGCTGGACTTGTGATGGTGGCGGCTGGTGGGCCAGGCAACGAAGAGTTAGTAGGTTAGTAACTACTCCGTACTAGGAGATTGAAGGTAAGAGGGAAGAGCGAAAGCGGCCAGTCAGTGAGTCGGAACTATGCAGTGCGGAGAAGAGAAGAACCTCAGGCCGCTCAGGGTCCAGTGACACCACGGGTTAAGTTAGTTCAGGGTCTGCCACTAATCCCCTTCCGGGCTTATCCGACCTCCGGACGCGGACTGCCAGGGCAGTAATCCATGAACACAACCGGTCATGAAATCGAGAGTATGTACGACTTCACCCACTGAAATTGGCATCTTTCAGTCATAATATCTTGCTCGTCAATTTACACCCACTCCTCTCCCTCATGCAGTACGAAATGTGTCCTACCTACCCTCGGAGATCACGTTGTGGCGTCGTAAGCCACCCAGCGAACAGATACTTGTCTTAGACTTACGTCGAGAATTCGCAGTTTCTTAGCTCCAGATGGCGCAACGAGGCACAAAATCATGCATTGGCACCAACATAAAAAAAATGAAGAAGAGCGAGCCTCGTCCCTCCTTCCGCCACTATGCACAGTGGAACGGATCGTACATACAGCATACTTATAAGCGAAACATATTTCACAAGGAGACAGCCACGCCCGCGAAACCTTCTCCCAAACCAAACCAAACCAGGTCATAACATCATCTTGTCATTCATGTCCAGCACAGCGTCTGTATTTTCATCATCAATCGTCACGAGAAGAATACAAATATAAGCCAAATAGAATATACGACAGACCGAAGAAGTCTCACACGATCCACCACCGGATCTCGCGAGACCACCATAAGTTTCCCCTTACCGTCATGGTCTCATTTCAGCGCAATATCTACAACTCATTTGCCATCCGTGATGTTCCGCAAAAGATATCTCATCACATGTTTCGGAGAGACGAAAAGGAGTGGGTGCAGCGAGAGGCGGCACAAGTGCCGCAAGAAAGTGTAAAAGTGTCACATAAGAGAAGGGCGTGGCGAGATAGAAAGGAGAATCGTAACAGAGCAGTCACGGAGCAGCGAACCGGACTTTTGCTCAAAGGTGAATGATTTCATGAGGGGAATTTCAAGCTTCAACTTCTTCAGCACTGCGTCGGGAGGCCGACAAAATATGTGCCGTGGCGTCTCGGGCTGGTGTGACGCGTCGCTTGCGCTCGAGGAAGCGTCGCTTTCCCGCTCGCGTCTCAAAATGTTGCGGAATTGCCGAAGCTTCTTGGCCCTCCGCTAGCATTGCGGCGCGCATCTTGTTACGGTATGCGTCCACTATTACTCCCCAGAAATCATCGGAGTTAGTAATTGTCATCGATACGCGAACTTACTGCAACATTGAACTTCCTGAGAGCAATGTCACTATACCAAGAAACAAAAGGAGCACGTACGGGATCGCTGCAGAAACATCATCCGTCCTGCAAAGACTCGGCTTTGGCTCCAGCTTATCCGGTAGGCCAGGTCGTTGAGGAGAACCTCCTTTCGCCGTCGGCCTCGAGACAAGCGTGGAACTGCAATCTCACTTTCGCCATCGATCTGAGGAACGGGAACCATGACTCTTCCAGCTGTTGGTAGTTCTTCGTCTTCGTCGTCCAGCTCGGAGTGATCCTTGATGAACCGGTTGCCAGGCACAACAGAAGTGCGAGGGCTTCGCATTTGAACGGGGAAATAGGTCCGGGGAAATACCGAGTTCATCCTACGATAGGAGTCCGGAATCTCATCCATGTCAATTAGGTCCAAAGAAACCTTAACCCGGACGCGGGCACCCCGTTGGGTGTCGTCCACGAGTATAAATTTGCGAGGCTTTCCCCCGGGAGGAGTGCCGAAGAGAGCTTCAGTGCTGGGGTTTTGCTCGTCCTCGTCCTCGTCCACTTCTTCAATGCGGCTAGCAGTCGCCACAGTTGGGGGCCGCCCTAGACCCCCTATACCACTCTCACGGAGAAGTGGCGGTATCGAAGGGCCTCGCGGTCCTCCGCCAATACTCCCCACTGTGGGATAGGAGTGAAACCCATGGAACACTTGAGCATTGCGGATATCTGTCGGGGATGATCCAGGTGGCGGATGATCTGAGGTAGGTGGACGGTGGATACCGTTCGAGAAGTCAGGAGGACCTAGTAAGGACATTATGACAATTATGAGATTAGCCTACGCAAGACGTAAAGTGTCGTGGCTGAAGCAAACAAAAACGGATTCAGCGGACTTGAAACACACAAGGCAAATCGGGTATGAAGAACGAGAAGTAAACAAGATAGAAATACATAGGGTACAAGATCCATCATTTAGTGAGAGTGGGCCAGTTGTCGTTATCCTTCCCAATGGACTTGACGCAGGCTTGCATGATACAACATGATAGACTGCTTTCGGTTTGTGCAACAGAGTCGGGACAAGAAGCACTTCATACGTGATGTTGGTACATACCGCTGACTTCCTCATGGTTTGCACCTCCATCGGGTTGGGCATGGTGATGGTGTAACTGCGGGGGACCCATGGTCAAGGGTCCCAGGCTTGGGCGGGGAGCGGCTGCAGCCATGCTGGCAGCTGGGATACCTGGAGGAACCGGCGTCGACGGTGCCATGTGGGATGGCGGCTGTGCTGGAAGCCCCTGTCGTCTGTTCAGTTTAGCCATCCTTCGCACACGGCGACTTCGAAGACGTGGATCTTGGTTGCTATTCCTCCAGCTATCCACAGCTCTTTGAATCAGACCACGCTTCCCTCTTAACGCAGGGTTCAGCTCGGCCAACGCCCACCCAACGGTATTGCATTCTGTTTCGTACACCAGACGGTTGCCTCGATAATTATCCTTGCCGCCGCATGCACGAGGGTATACACAGTTCTCGGACCTGAAATCCGAGCTAAGATTATCCACACTAACAGATTCAACGTCGCATCGGATGGTATACTCCATTTTCACCCGGTCTCGAGAGTATTCAAACGCAATCCACTGGACTCCGTTGCTGTCTTGTCTAACAACAAGAGGTGTCGTGGCAGGGATTGGCCCGGGTGCTGCACTAGAACTTGCCCCGACATTTGAGCTCTGGTGGTGAACAGTACTAGCTGATATGGGTGCAGCCGTCGCCGCAGGGAGCGGTGGGTTTAGCATCGCCCTCTGAGGGGGAGTCGGTTGCTGCACTGTAGAGGTGGGGCTGCTGGCAATAGCACCAGTTGGGGCTTGGGTGGGATGGTGAGGCAACTGTGCGGTACTGGTCTGGTGTGGGATCATCAACGACTGGGTCGTAAGTGGATGCTGCTGAGGTGATGCATTTGGGCCGTATTGTGAAGGCTGAACAGGGTTCATTGGAGAGTACGGTGGGTAACCGTACATCTGAGACGTCATCTGCGGTGATTGTGTGTAGATGTTTCTACCGTGCGGCTCGTGGGTTTGTGACGCTACTGACGCGGGCGAACTAGACTGAGGCGTGTGATAGATCGGAGGATATGGCCTCTGCATTTGCGCGGCGGCTGCCATGATCTCAGGGGGGCCTGAATAGTCAATAAGCCATCGCATTCAGGATAGAGATTAGAACTGACGATGTCCACTTACCACTCGATGGGTACTGACTCGGCGCACTCGCTGTCGTATAGGAGGATTGGGGCGCGTAGTAAGATTGTTCCTGCGATTGAGCGTAGGGATGATGATGCAAAATTCCGCTCGCTAAAGGATGAGGGGTAAAATTTCCCGAAGACAAGGTAGTCGGAGGCTGGTGGGGGGAACCCGGTCGCTTTGGTGGTTGTATGAGGGTCGTAGGTCGGGGATGCTGAAGATGAGGGGGCTGCGCGCCTTGATACCGAAGCTTGAGTTGAGCGAGGTGTTAGCCTGAGCACTTATCATTGAGTACGGTGCTTTTCTTTCCAAATCATGTGTTTAATGTGAGGAGATAAGAAGCATGTAAAAGCAGATGAAACGTCATTGTCAGAGATGAAGTCCTTGCCCCGGATCTGAAGCCAGAGACTGACGGAATAGAGTAAATTCATCACGCAAAAATCAAATTATTCAGGATGAAAGATGAAGAAAACCCCGTAAAGGGAAGCCCTGAGCTCGGCATCTCGGAGCGAAGAGCGGAGAACTGTCATCAGCCGCTATGGACTTTACTACTCTCATAGCACCAGGCAGGCGTGGGTCATTGGCTGCGCTTCCTCAGGCCTCGTAAGCACGCTGATATCTCAGTCTGTGACAACCACTACAGCTGTCCCTCGGACATGCTGCGGAAGGTGTACATCTTGATTCAGCCAGCATGACTCCGGGAACAAGCTTAAAGTCGCCGGAGAGTAGGAGAGTTGAGCCTTTGGCGCTGTTGTGGTTGCACCAAGGAATCTCTCAGGATCATATTTTTGGATTTCAAATTGAATGCCCTGAAATGCTCATGTGAAGTATTTCACAATCATTGGCATTTGGGGTAAAGCAAAGCGGCTCGGAGAGGGCTTGTAGCATTTGCCACATCGAGGTGTCAGTCGTAATCAACGTACAACAGAAGTCATCAGGTCGGCAGCTTGGCCAAAAGCAATGTTTGCTTGTTTTCGCGAGAGAAATTGTAAGAGTGGATAATAGTTCCCCTCGTCGGGATATGGTCGGCGTCGATATCGCCAATTGTTGCCAGGTGCCTCCTGGGAGAGATGATGCGCGGGAGACTGGGTTGTCCTTGGATGGAGGCCAAGCCACGAACCCGATACGATACAATTGAAGAAAAGAAGGCGCAGAAGAAGCAAAACAGGGAATCGCGACAGAGAAAGGAAGAATATCAATTCATAGTCTTAAGGCAGCGAATGAAGGAAGAGACATGAAGACAAGGAAAGTAGCAGAGAGAGAGAGAGAGCGAAAGAAAGAAGAGAGAAAGCACTCACGGGATCTTCTGCAGGCTCGTCTTTGAATTTAGTTGCGGGTGGATGAGCTAGGTCAGTCTGAACCATACCGGTCATGACTGACCTCAAATGGCCTCAAAAGATGTATTCCTTGTTTTGATTCTGTTCCTCCTCGTAGGTGGATGATAGTTTTGTCTCTTTTCCTGGTGTTCTTGCCTTTCCTCTTTTGTTATCTTTGGTAATTTGCGTTCGTTTTTATTGGCGATAATAGAAAATGATATAGGAAGAGAGTCAAGAAGACATAGAAGGATGTTTGTTTCTTTTTGTTTCGGAAGGGGAGGATTCGAAGTCGAGTCCCGACGGTCAGATGGAGGAAGTAGATGGGAAAGATCGAGAGAGAGAGAGAGAGAGAGAGAGAGGAGGGGGGCGGCACCACAACGGTTGCGGGAAGGATATCTTGACTAGGGACAGACGAACAGGTAAGGACCAAAGTTAAAGAGAGGCTGAAGGGCAACGGTAGTGGCTCGCTGTTCTGTGTGGCTCTGGACTGGACTGGGGGAGGGGAAGGGATGTCTGTCTCTCGGGGTGTGTATGTGTGTGGGAAGGGAAGAAAGCAAAGGCCTGGCTGGCTCAATGGGTTGGTTAAACGGTGCGATGCGAGTGCGACTGTAATGTGGAGGGTCCAGGGTCGTTATTTAGCTGCGCAGGAGACCCATCCTTCATCACTACAGAATATTCCCAATCAACAACTATCCCGGATCAGGAATGGGATACAAGACTAAGATCTTTGGGAAAGGGGAAATTGAAAAAAAAAAAAAAAGAAGAGTAAAGATGAAGGGAGAGGGGAAAGAGAGAAGAGGGGACGTTGGAACAGAAAGAAAAAGAAAAATATTATAAAATAAAATAAGACTTACAGTGAAAATAAATTAAATTAAATCTAGAAAAAATATTCCGGGGGAAAAATGAAAAATAAAAAACAGAAAATGGGCAATCAAAAACAGCAGCGATGGAGGGCAGGACAGCGTCAGAGTGGTTAGTGGAGATATCAGAGTGAGCTTGTTACTAGCGGGAAGGTGGTGTAATATTGACCAGGATGGATGCAGGACAGAAGAAGGGCCAGAGACAACCGCGACGTGAGATAGAAAATCGACGAGACAAGCATTGACCGGCAAAAAAAGTATCAGTTATGAATGTCAACAGCCCCTAAACACCTTGAAGGGATTGAACACAGCCTGCAGGGACATGGTGGTGAAAACAATCAGCAATTACAGGAGCACGGAAGGGAAATCGACGGGGAACAGAAATGCAGTTTAGATGCTCCTCCTGCCATACTGGAAAGAAGAAAAAGAAACAGAAAAATGGTTAGAAAAATGCAACATGCTTGCAGCAGAAAATGGCTGTCTGCTCACATATGGTCCGCGAACACCATTTCTTGGGTTGATAATTGTTTGTTTGACAGGCAAAGTGACCTCGGTGAAGTGGGTATAGGTGGGCGGATGGGGTGACTGGGGTTGAAAGGAGGAAAGCCTCGCCAATGCACTTGAAACTGGGTAAACAGCGCAGACACCAGGCATTTCACTTCTCCGAAGTAAAAACCAATTCGCATTTGGAAAAAGGTCCAACAAAGATGGAACAAAGAACCGCAGCAGCCCAATAACGAAGAGACTGGCATGCGATGCAAAACATTGAGTTTATCGCGGATCGAATGCATTCAGAGTTTCCAGAGCCCCTCGGCAGATAGGTTCATGGGCGACTTAGCAGAAGAATGAAACTAGAACCCCTGAAAGAACGGCATCACTTTGACAGTATTCACCATTGTTCATCCGTAGGAATAGTACTCCGTAGAGCACACCGTATGCATGTATGCATGTACCGTACATATTATGTCCACGGGCTGCCAATCAATTCTCCGCAGACAGATCTACCACCTGGAGCTAAAACCTCAGGTTCAAATGCTTACTACAACCGAGTCAATACTGGGATTCTAGTGATTCAGATACTCTTAAAATGAGGTCTGTCTGAGAACCTGCAGCTAGGTAACTAGGTAACTTAAGAACTGTCTATTATTATTCCCACGCTGCCGACACACATGGGGAAGGGACCAGTGGGTCTGTCTTGAGGGTCAGTGTTCTACCGTACCATTAATTTAGGTATACCCATAATTATAGATCGCGTTGGACTATCGTAAATACTAGGTAGCCATCAGACTCAATCGGGATAACAGTACGGAGCAGACCTTGGACTGCGAGTATGCGATTACTCTTCCGACCAGTGACGAGGATGAATTGTTCCAGAAGATAAAGTAAGCGTTGAATCAACGCAGAATTTCCCATTGGCATGTTTGGGCTGCAATATCCACTCAGGTGGTCATTTTAGGTTTGCGGTGGAGGCGAGAATTGGCTGGTCTGGAATGAATGATGGTGGAAGATTGGCGGCGGGAGGATTAGGCACGATACAGTAGCCGTTAGTTTAGTCCGATGGATGGTAACTTATCAGTACAATCCATTACATTACCACTGTGTCCGTACAGCATGATACCACCTCAATGACCTCATCCTTTCAAGACTTTCAATCCATCCTTCTTCTATTGTTGAGATAGGCTTGGAACTCTATAGCGTGGCATCGAAGAGGCCACAGGCAATAGCAGTCTTTGAAATTACTTATCCGAGCATTCCAGGAGGATGATGATCGATAAGGGCAGTGGCCCTTAAGAACAGACCAGGCCGGTGCCGTGCCCTGACAGCCAGCCAGCCTCCACTCGGTGTGCATGGAGCCATGGATGATGGTGATGTTGCCTCGATGAGATCGTCTTAGGACAGACAGTATGTGTAAGTAGTTTGGCGATAACTAAAGAGAACGACACCTGCATCAGCAGTTCAATTCTAGCTCACCCGAAACTGGTGGTTCTAGCCTCAGTTTTCGTTTCTTCATTTTGGATTTTATTTTCGTTTCGTTTCTTTTCTTGACTTTTCTTTTTTTTTTTCTTTCATTTCTTCTCCTCCTCGTTTAGTCCACGGGACGTTCAGACCTACCAGAGAGAAAAATACCGCCATACGCGACCCGACTCGATCTGGTTACACTCCGGTAAGAGAACAGCCGATCTGACTTGCTGCTGTCAGCCTTGTGCCCACTTTCCAGCAAGCGCCACACCACCATTACCATCACCACCTCCACCACAACGATTCATTCCTCCATCTCCTCCCTCCGGGGCCTCCCACTAATCAAGATCACTCTGCTCACCACATATGGATTAGATCCCGTCAAGTCCAAGCTTGGGCATAAATTGCTTGATGGATGGGTTGCAATTGTTGCAACTGAATGCCGTCATCGCTCATAACACACATACTCTCTCCTAAGCTCCCATTAGCGAGCTTGATTTGAATGAACAATGAGACTGCCTACCAGTGCAGTCGACGAATAATCCCTTCTCCTCTTCTCGCTCATGGACAGGCGACGCATTAGTCATTCATCCATGTTCCCCGAGGTCACTGCTGCTACAGATTGTGCAACCCCAGCCCATAGCCTGCAAAGCGGCTGATCAATCATTGCCATTTTGGTGGTTTTCTGATCCTGCCGCTTCCCGGCAGCTAGCTTCCTGCATCAATCATGCCTTAATGAACAGCTACGTCCCTAGTTATTGATTCGAGGGAAGGAAGACAAGCCCTCACTCACGGCAGTGATCGAATCACTCTCGAAACCAAAAGTTGTTCGCAGCTTGATAAAGAGAGGAGAGACGGACTCATAGGATCGCACGGGTCCTCCATCCACTTACCGATCTTCTGCCCGTTGCCCCAAACGCCTTCCTGAGGGTGAAAGTTGGCCTGTCAAATACTATCAGTGACTTGGCTCCACCAGGCCTGTCGGGCAATCAGACGGTGGCTTCAGCGGTAGTGGGGCTTGGCACGGGCATTGAGAAGGGAATTATGATTCTTTTTCGAGTATGCCAGCAGAGATCAACAAAAAGCTCATAAACGATACCCCAGTCCCTCCGTATCTATGGGCAAGCGTTGTCAACATTCGTGAATATGGTACTAGGTTGAGGGAAAAGACATTTATTTTCCCTCACCCAAGGTATTGATGCGCTTTGTTGCCATTTTGAGCTAAACCAAGCGCCGTAGGAACATTCCTCGTGCATCGATTCCATGTGAGCCTGTCGACCATATGTATGCCAGGGCTCGTCATAAACTTCTGTCTCGGATGATAAGACAACCGCTGTTCAACCTATGTTGTGTTTGTCCACCGACCAGTCACAACATATGCGGCACGCGTTCAGCAGGTAAGCATCGTTTGTACTATGCTGCGCATATGGGGCCTCCTTTTGTCCGATATCCCAGCATCGATGTTGCGAACTCCACCTAAAGGGTTTGGTGCATACCAGTTCCGCGCAGGTGTCAACAAAACCTCACGTTCTCCTTCGGAGGGCGATTCCTGACGAAGGGAAAGATGGAACTGGAGATTTTCCCAAGGAGGCTAGTCAAGTCGTCGTAATCGAGGGATTCTGCTACCGGCATGACTGGCTCCCGCACTCGAGAGGTCGAGTCTCTGTGAATAACTAGGTACTGTACCATATACTCAGGGAGGTCATGTGTATGGCCTGCTCACGGGCGGGTGGGGTTCTTAGGCTGAACTAGGCTGAACGCAAGCAACGGTCTCAGACTTGGGGAGCTTGCCATTGGCATGCAACTCTCTGATCGATGCAGGGTGTTTGAGATGGTGTTCATTGTTCCGTGCCTCCCTCCGGTCGCTTGCCTCTCACCGGCCGATTTCTTGATTCCTCAATAGCTTGGAGGGAGTACTGTACGTACTATCTCTTTCTGCAAAGTTGCCGCTCCTACTCTTCTTTCTCCTACCTACTTTGTGGTATTACAAGGTACTGTATTTCTTTTGGCGGATGCATGACACTAAGCATGATTGGTTTTAAATAGTCCTTTATTCTGTCGTTCCCACCCGAGTGACCTTGTAATCTACATCGCAAAGGCTAGAAGCCCGATTCAATGCGACAAGTGCAGTAGAGTAAGTTGATCATGAAGATAGCAACTGGCTGCACAAACAGTCATCTGTCGGGGCACGGAACCGAAGTCAATACATAATACGGTACCGCGCACAATACATGACAGAATACGGCGGAACGATACAACCCTGACAGGAGCACTGCTTCTTACCTATCTTTAATGCCTCTCTCATCCTTTGATCATCATCCGACCTTATAGATGACCTTCTCGTCCCGGGCCCTACCTGGCCCATTATTCCCTGGGATGACCATATTTGCCTTATGGATGATTTGATCGGGCGAAAGCATATAAGCAACATGCGTCTGACAGTACGGGAAATTGTGGAGAGGCCGTGCTCCCAAATGATCAGGCGTGTCGATTGAGTTGGTGGAAATTAGGAGTGGTTAGTGGCCCGGTTCAACGCGCAGACTAAGGCACCGTCTAGCTGCTGGTGATTACTAGTCGTTAGCATGGTCTCTATGGGACCTGGTGAGGTGCCCATTCGGTCGAAGTTTTCTTGATCAAATGGGGAAAGTTGCCTGTCACCGTCAACATTATTATCAACAAGGAGACGGATGCCCATGCGATGATGACACTTAGCTTTTGCCAATGTTCAAAGACGCGGTCGGCCTGCGAATGAGGGTGCACCCACTTTGTCTGATCAACACGCTTGGAGTTCGTTGGCGTGGTTATCTGTCGCATGCGATGAATAAATATCTGTCGTTGCGAACTTGCCGATCTCAGACCACCAACGACTTGTTAGAGATTACGAGATCGAGCAGGCAATGGAACTGTGGGTGGCTACGAGAGTTTCAACAGCTGAAACCAACCCCAATCCCAGCCCCAACCCGAGCCATAGCGCCGAGAATGACAGGGGAAAAGCGGAGCATCAACGACATCAAGCTCGCTAGAGCAAAATTCAGGAGCCACTCTTCTAAACCGAACGACGGGGGGCTTTGCTTCCGCTTCCGGCGAGGTGTCCAAATCCCAAACCAACCCCATGAAGAAATTGAAGAGCGAAGGAAAAAAAAAGAAAAGAAAATACCAGAAATGAAATTAGAGCCCCTGGGCGGATCAGCCGAACATCGCTCAGAATGTGGCCTGGTGAGTCCCCTCTGATTCTATCCAGAATCAGATCGACTGGGCGGATCCGAACCTAAGACTTCGGATCCAGCAAGCGACACTAGGTAGGAACGTTGACGATGCTGATGCAGCGGGACCGTTTACTAAAATCGAGATTGCTGCCCAGGAACCCAGCTTTCTAGACACCAGCCAATTGATTAGATATCTACGCCAAATGGCTATTGATGGTACCTATCTCCTTCCTCTAGCCAGTTTCGCTTCGCCCGGCCATTTCCCACGAGGTCCAGATCAGGCACAACCCTAATCGAGGACCAAACTTTAGAGGGCAGGTGATGCGACTCCCCGGCGTCCCCGCTCCAGTGCTTGAAGTCATCCACTGGTTGCAATCATCGATGGATGGAGTTTGTAGCTCTCATAGCAGGTTCAATCAAAGTGAGTTCTCCCGCTCTTCATGACTCGTATCATGGGTGTCAACCAATCCCTCTTAACCAGTCCTCCTTCATCCGACACTCCTAGTCTTAGTGTGTCAAACAAAAACAGGTTAGAGAAAAGACAATACTGCCCCCAAAGAAAACGGTCGCAGTAGCTGCTGCTTTTGCAATTCCAAGGTGGAGACCTCTTTAGCTTCCCTTGGCTTTCTTTCACCCTTCTCCTTTGTCTCTCATGTTCTGCCTTTCAAATTTGTCAAACCCCCGGGCGTGTCTCTGATCAAACCTGGAATCTTGCTTCCGGGTAGTGATCGGCAGCTGGGGGGTAATATGCACATCACGTTGGCCATCGCATTAAACACCCATACTAAGCCCCCGGACCCCTGTCTCACCGTTCACTTATCTCGAAAAGTCTAGGGACACTGAGGGCTCACGTCTGCCCACATCTTGAACCTCAAGGAGGATCATCCGGCTCGCTTCAATTGCCGGAGAAAATGGTCTCATCAATTAAATTGCTTCTTTGTCCCTTAGACAGAGTTCAATGTGCAGGCCGTGTTCCTCTGCTTCCCCATTTTCCCTGTTTTTTGCCTTCCAACCCCGTGAATTGACTTGTCAATCAACGTCATCACCGGCATCATCTTTGAATATGTTTTTCTGAGGAGGGGATTCAGCAACAATCATTCTGGAGTCTCATGCCACTCATGAAAAGGACATAGCCTAGCACCTACGGTAAAAGCCGTGACTTCAATCAGGGCTGACCACTGGCAAGTTTGCCCCGCAGGCCGACCCCACTGGGCTAATATTAGTCTGTGATAGCCTCCGTCGAGGCCGTTTCCTAAGTTAGGGTGGCAGACTAGCCATCATCATCTCATCGTCACTCCCTCTGAAGACTAGCTGGATGCAGGATAGCTCTGGAGACCACCAGATGTTTGGTGTCAACTGGCAACCAGTCGCTATGGAATAATTATTAGTTTGCCTGGTCTACCCATTTCGTGTATGATACATACCCATCATAGTCTACGGACGCATGCCAGGCTGACTGAAGCTACCTGTGTACATTCATACTTTGCCTACTTGTCCTGGTTCTTAAGCTATTCTACTGTGGAAAATGAGAGTAGTGTACTCCGTACTGATAACCGCTCGATTCTGCGCATGTAAACATCCATCGAGCAAAGGTGGCAGCTGGCCATATAGTTAGCATGTAGTGTATGCGCTGTGTATATTACCATACAGAATACTCACATACATACGAAGTACAGTACGATACCACCATGCACCTTCCTCTTCCTTTCTTCCCTCCCTCCCTCCCTCCCTCCCTTCCTTCCCTTACGGACGGACCGGCGTCGGCTTTCCCGCGATTGTCAGTTCAGTGCATCCGGATCACTTCAACTACCTTGTCTTCATCCACATCCCCATCCACATCACCTCTCCAGGGAGAGAGTATCTCGACTGGGGTGAATGCAATCTTGATCGGCTCGGTCCTTCTTGGCAGGAGACAGCGGCCAGCCCTAGGGATGTGGTCGACTGACTTGCCTTAGTCCTGTCGCAGCTCACCCCTCGGGGTTGCTAAATCCGGACAAGAGCAAATGTTTGGTACTCAACTGGTACCTTGGCGTTCGGCACTCTGGTGCCGATCGCGTTTTTTCTTTCTTTATCTCTTTCATTCTTTCTAAATTCTTTCCTCTTACTCTATTCTTCTCATGTCCGTTGGTTTCAAATCACGGGGAGGAAGCGAACCATGGAAAGAACGGAGGCTTTTTACTTTCGGGGGAGGGAGGGGATGGTGGATATGGTTCCTGTTCCCCATGGCGGGTGTCTAATCTCCCCGAATGCAACCATCCCGCGGGGGAAGAAGGGTACGGTAAAGAGAAAAAAAAAAAAAAAAGGCGTGGGTGGGATTGGAATGAGTTATTTTTCCGGCTCCAATCTAACAGCAGGCTAGCAGGCTAGCAGCAACCCTCTAGCATCGACAAGGACCGATACTTTCCGACATGATTTGCGCGTGGATCGCGATCTAGCCACCGAAGGCTTCTCCCGCTGGAGCTCCGATGGCTTTGGTTGTTTTGTTTCACTTTACTCACCCAGACATGGTCCGCCTAACACTTTCTGGAGGTCTCGACTTCGGCCGGATCGGCTCCGTCTGTTCTCCAAATCTGCGGCCCCATCTTCCATGGGAAGGGCCGAGAAAGCGAACGTGCTCTATACAAACATGGTATAGACCCATCAACTTGTTCTGGAGCCGGCTGGCTCTCTTGACTCGATCTGCTTGCTCTACCAGCAGGCAATCGCAACGCAAAAGAGGTATTTCTCCACCCTGGGAAGCGCACTGCTCATCAACAGATTGGTTTCTTGCCCTCATGACTAAGCTTACGCGCATCTTCTTTGTTGCGTCGCACGTTGTACGGACCCCATGAGTCAGCGGCAGGTTTAACTCGAACTTGAAAGAGAACAACATCCAACGTTTCCGTGGAATAGCAACGGGCAATAGGAGCTAGAGCACTTAAACCACCATACATCAACAAGCAAGCAGACTCCCAACCGGGCTATTCTAGACCATCCAAGGCCGATCGCTACCGAAGGCGTCATTTTACATAAGCTCCCCTCCCCGACGGAACCGCAAACTGGCCCTAGCTAGCTCGGAGGGGAGATTTTGGCACATACACATCCAGTAGTAGAATGCTTTGCCTTTAACGCCAACGCCACTCTCTGCTCCAAGGGGAGGATGGGAATTTTCTCCGCACTGTAGCCGCCTCAGTCCGGGCACGGAGCGTTGTTTTAGTCGGCAGGAGCACCAGCCTGGTTGTTGATGAAGGAGGGCCCTATGATTACCTCAGCATAGCGGAGACTGCGTACGGGGCTTGATTAAGTGACTGAATCTCAGGGCTCCCGGAGCTACGAGAGGGACTGGCCCTCGTCGGAGTCGGACTCATGCGGACGCCGTGCCCGGTCAACCGTCGAAGGTTTAGTGTGGGTGTGGTGGATGTGCCAACAGGATTGGAGGGGCCGGGTTGTGGCTATAGTCTCGACCGGATATACTGTGAAAACCCGGCTCGAATCCGAAGAATAACTCTGCTGCTTTGTTTGCTTGCTCTCGACTAGCCAACCGACTATTGCCGTTGTGATGCTGCTGCTGCTTATTGACCATCATCATCCTTAGGTCAGTTGCCAGTTCTGCTGGCTTCCAAGCGAGCAATATGATTCGATGTTAATCCCGCTGTGGGATTATCATTGGAGACGGTTGTTGTTTGCGATCTAATCTCCGGATTAAATTAGAGGGGCTACGTAAGTGGTGGCTTCTTTGCTTGCACTGTCGCTATCGACCTACCTATTTGGGAGTCAGGACTATGGCAGGAATTGTGACTGTACGTACAGTACTCCCATGCATCCTTCTTACCTCGGTGCGACTGATCTTTCACAGAGCTCTAACTTATCGCCAGGGAAATCCGATGAGTCCCGAGCTTCCACTTTTCAATCATGATTGAAGATGATATGTAAACACCGTGTCTGCCAATCGCCCTCTGTCTGTTCAAAACGTACCCGTCCGAGCCCTAAGTGAGAAAGTAACTTAGTCGCAGTGACCGGCTGTGCGGCCCCACCATCCGCCGCGGAAATGGAGTCTCGTTCTCCATTGTGGGTGGTGAACCAGTTTCCTACTTGTCTATCCACCACAATCGGAAGAATTGCTAGCCTAGCAAAACCCACTCCGTTCACTCCACTCAATTAGCCCGATCACCGTGCGAACCAGACAAGAAGGATGTCACGGGCCCAGGCCTTTCTCCTCCCCCATCAGCACTGTACCTCGATAGTTAGATCCCGTTTTTACCGTTAGTGACTTTACAGAAAGGCACAAACAAACAAGGAAAGACGGTAAGGTAAACCGCCATGAAATGGCCCTCCTCCTCCTCCTCCTTCCACCCCCTTTCACCCCTCACACCTTACCCAAACTTTCTCCCATCCCCTCCCTGGTCTGACAGCGGTCCATTCCACATGGAACATACATGGTTAGGTGCATAGGGCATGTCGGTCCTAATTTCCTTTCTGTGTGTGGCTGCCGGGTTTACCATGGGTCCATGGGTCCATGGGTTTGACTGACCGTCTGGACCCGGAAAAATCCCCTACGCACTGACGGCGGCTAAGAACGGGTGATTGTCGACTACGATGGGATATCCTGGTTTAGTACTGTGGGTGCTCCCGCCGTAGAGGAAGGGTAGGGAAGGGAAGGAAAGGGGAGGGATGAGGGATGGGGGATGAGATGAGGAAAAGAGGATCAGTTGCTGTTTATACTTTTTGGGTCTAGGCGTTTCCGTTCCCGGTTTGCGGTTATACGCATACGTATACGGGACTTTTGATGTGGGAGTAGGTGAAGTGTAAAGTGTAAAGTGTAAAAGGTACGGAGTAGTCCGTGTAGTTGAGGGGGGTGAATTTTCCTTTTCCCTTATGGATTGTGCTGATTGTACATTATTATGAGGAAGGTGTGGTTCAGCTTTTAGTTAGTGAGTGGCTACTAGAGCTACCTACTGTATGATTGCTGCAATCTAACACTACGGACCGAAGACTACGTTACCATAAGCTAGCTAATATAGTCACTTTTCGCTAACCTACCAACTGGATAGTTCTCTCTTACTCGGAGGAGCATCTAAGCCCCTTCCCCCTCTAACATCAACAACTCAACCTATAGACAGACACATTCTACATAGAAGCACCCCCTTCTCAAAGACAACAACAATGAAAACACCGGACCACCATCCCACCACTCAACTCCCAACTCTGTCCCTCACAAAAAAAAAAAAAAAAAAAAAAAGGGAAGCAACGATCTCAAACCCCGATCTACCAAGCATCATCCAAAGATGAAGTCCACAAACAAAGAAAGTATAAAGTAAAGCCCCCCTCTCCCCCCGGTCCTGTAGGCAATAACATTCGAACGGAACGGAGGGGGAAGAAGATCTCTTTCCTAGACAGGACAAACCCCCAATTTTGTGTCAGGTTATTCCCCTCTTTGGCCTTTGGTCTTTGGTCTTTGCAAATCCCGCTGTCTAGTTGAGTGGAGATTTTTTGCTGGCTGATTGCGATTTTGGTTTATCGTGTCGCGTCGCGGGTGTTGGGGTGGATGAAGGTGTGTGTAGGCATATGCATGTGGGCAAGGATGGTGGGGATGCAAGTAGTAAGCAAGCAGGCAGGCAGGCAGGTAAGCAGACAAGACAGGCAAGCAGGCGTATTTAGCGGGGACTGGATTTTGGCCTAGATTCTTGCCTATTAGTTAGACGTTAGACGTTAGACTCTACCTTCGCGGTAGTTATATTGTGGCTGGTTTGTGTATGGCTTGTATTCGTGTGGATGTTTTGTATAATATCCGTTTTTTCTGACAGGCATGAGGATGGTTCTAGGGTACAGTGGCTGAGGCGGGACGCAGGGAGGTGTTAAGGTCAGGTCAGGTAAGGTCAGGTAAGGTCAGGTAAGGATGAGAGATGCGATGAGCATGATCAATCAGCATAGTATAATGGGATTGTTTGTCAGGTTTCAGGGGGACGAACGGTGGAGGGAAGGAAGGGGATGCTTGCGATAGCAATGGTAAGTTAGTGAGTGGCAATGGGTTATTTTTTCCACGGTTTTTCCCTGCCCCTGCTCTGCTCAGGGGAGAGGGTTGATACTATACTGTAGTTACCTCAACATATAGTGCGTGTAGTGTACTTCTGGGGATGATGTAGAGGTGGAGAAGGATTGGATTGTCTGTTCTATGCTCAATTGTGGGTTGCTTGGATTGAGTGCCTAGGTTTAACGTTATTGTGCTGAACACTCACGGTAGTATACAGAAAGAGTACGTACTGATCCTATCCTACCACTTTCCAATATCCTGTACACCCATCGCTTCGATAGTGTAGTCCTCTCTAGAGAAGATGCATCCTCCCACGGTAGGGATACTATCAACCGCATCGCTACCCCCTTCCCCTTCGCCTTCCCCTTCCCCTTCCCAATACAGCATCCCCAAAGCGCCAGAGCAATCAACCCTCAAAACAGGGACCCAAACACCACCCGACCTGCTATATCTTTAACCTCATGCCCCAACACCCGTCTCAAAAAGCAACAACACCTCCCAAACCAGCAATCAAACAACCACTCCAGCTCAGCTCAACTCAACCCTAACTAAATCAGGCTAATCCCCCAGCCAGCCAGTGGATCTCCAAACAACGGTTACCGTTTGTTTGATCCCAATCTCAACACACACGCCTCGAAGATCATCATCAGCCGGCTACCAAGAAAGCAAACATGGCCGACAAAAAAAACGCACGATCTAGCTGACAACGAACGTCGCAAACATCCCCCGGTCCCTCCCCCATTTTGGAAATGCCCAACGGTATACCGGTTTTTGGCATGATGTGATGATCGGCATTCATCACGCAGAAAGAGGAGAGAGAGAGAGAGAGGGCAACGACGACAAAAGCAATCCACAGTCCGATGGACATGCCCCCTCCCCCTTACTGGGAGTATGGAGTGACATGTTTCAAAAGGGAGGTTTGGGCTTGAGTGGTATGCTGCTCTCGTTGAGGAACTGCGGCCTTTCTTTTTGCTTCTTTGGACGGGCATGTTTGTTTCCTCTCTCTCTCGCTCGCTCTCTCTCTTGCACCGTGATGCCTCCCGACTCGTTCTCTTAGGACATCGAGCCGAGACTGTTGCGTGAGAGAAGGGGTGGAGAACAGAAACCGAGAAGGGGAGGGAAGTGCTTCTATCTGGAAATTAGACAACTGGCTGAATGGTGCACTGAGATTTTACTTCATTCGGCAATACTCTCAATCCAATTAATCTACTTCCGATGAACAATAGCTGATAGACAGATAAGATTAAACGACCCTACCAGCATCATGGTGGGTGGTCACTTCAATGATTCCCCATTTCCGTTCGTTCCGCAGTTGATTCATTGGATTGCAATCGAAGACACGGCTTATCACCTATCCAAGGCATCTTCTAATTGTCGAACGATCCTCCCGTGTCCAATCAGGGATAGGGTAATGACTGTGGCGACCACTTTTGGGCATCCTCTAGATACCAAAATAGGTGGAGCAAGAAAAGACAGGGTGGCTGAGGTGAAACCCCCTGGTCCCCTGCCTTCCCGTCGAGTCCCTGTTGCTTCACCCCTCGTACGGGGGTCAGACATCAACTCAAGCGACAGGTTCATCCAATAGTTCGGTAAGGAGATTCCAGATCGGTCTGCTACCTTGCTCACATCAGAAAATTGGGGTCTGACGGAATCATGTTTATTTCTGCGCAAACGCTAGGCAGAGGTTCTAAACTGCACCGGTAATATACTATAGACACAAACATGAGACATGCATGGCGTCGTCGAAAAGTAAACGTACATACTGTAGGAATGCCACCCAGGGAAAGGATCGTCTTGATCGCCTGCAGAAGAAACCAAGGCCAATCCTCTGTCTCCCACCAGAACTCAAATCCAACCATGCTGCACAACACCAACAATCATGGCCACATGTACAAGTCACTCTGCTCACCAGGTGCTCTTCGGTTGACCGGATTCGGTCGCCTGTAGCACAAGGTATCGGATACCCACGACTTGGGTGTTGGTCTCCCTGAGCACGCGCAGCAGCATAGCCAGTCAGCGAAATAGTCGGGTGGCACAGTGTCACCATGGCTTGCACATAGTCAGAAGACCAGATGGCATCTGTCCTCCTTCGACCGCCGAGGATATTTGGCAGAAGCTTTTCCACTCCTGGGCTCTCCTCAAATGATAGCACAGTAGGACTGTACACTGCATGCGGTAAATCCAGTTGGCATTGAGATAGTCTCAATTGCTTGATCGCCCCAGCGCACTCGTACAGGCAGCAATGCACCTGCTGTAATAGTCGAATCATGAACCGCCCTTGCTATCCAGAGCCTTGTCGTTACGCATTCTGTTGTCATTCGCGACGATCGTGTCGCTCCTGATTGGTACTGAGATGAGATCACATGGCCATCGGAGATATCACTATACAGAGACAACGAGAGAAGAAAGCGAATCTCGAATGAGGAAATCTTCCGACTGGTACCCAGTTCACGCCGCTGCTGGGGCGGGATCCGCCGGGGCCTTCGGGATGGCCTTGGATTCAGACGATGCTTCAATGGCCAACGGTGATTCATCTGAGCCATCATCTTCATCATCGCTCGAAGAGTCAACCTTGCGTCCGCGGCGACGGTCTTCCTCGCGACGTCGACGCTTTTCTTGGATATACTCGTGATAACGAGCATCTAGCTAGTTGTCAGTATGCACACGCATCATCGGAGCAAGGACCTTGACACATACCTCGGATTTCCTGCGTTTTGACGGCGTATGCCTGTATCTCTTCCTTGCTCAACACACGCAAAACGATCACGTATTCAGAACGTTCCTCATAACGTTCGCGACCGAGTTCCAAGGCAGCAGGGTTGACCAGTCGCCGATCAATCTTTGTCCACCTTGCCCCTGGAGGAATGCCCTTCTTGTGGGCATCTTTCAGAGGTGCCACGCCTTCTCGCACAGGGTTCGGCTCTTCGGGAAATTTGGCACGTGGCGGCTTCAGGATACCCTTGGGGGCAGGGGGATCCTGCTCCTTCGCTGCCGCCGATTCATGCTTCTTCAGCTCATCAGGGGAGCTGAGTCTTTCCTGCTTGGTACCATCCTTGGCCGGCGTGTCCTCTGTACGACGTCTCGACTGGGATCGAGGACGAGGAGCGCGATTCACAGTCAGGTACGGGGATACCCGGTCGCTGCTGCTCGCTGACGCGTCGGAGCCATCTCGCCTTCTATGTGCCGACGGTTCGCGTCGGTATTTCTTCAAGTCCTCGTCGGATGTGTAGGAATCGGAGTCGCTTTCATCACGACGTCGGGACCGTCGCCTCCGGGATCGACTATGGTGTCGCCTGTTTTCATCCTCACGACCCGCTTCACGGGAACGATGGTGTTCGGTCCGAGGGGAAAGCCCATAGTCGAAGTCATCGGGGTATCCTAGAACAGCGGTTCCCAGCCCAGTGCTCGTCCCGGAAATGATTGAAGTTCTGGATGAGGACTTCCGTGATGAACGATCGTCACGAGAGTACCGATCGTCATCATGTCGTCTATGCCGGCGGCGACGATGACGATGATCTTCGTGCTCCGACCGGTAAGAAGAGTAACCCTCATCAAGGTCCTGGTGCACGGAAACTGGGACTCTTTGCAGTGACCGCCGTCGAGCGTTCGAGCTCTCCACATCGCTGTCAGCCGAGCCATATGTTGAGCGGCGTACACGGCTTCCTTGGTCAATGCGATCAAATCCTCTCTGTGATGGAGGTGGACCCAGTGCCCGGGATTCCTTTCTCGATTGCAATTGAGGGTCATCCGGGCCAGTCAAGCTGAGGGGTCTATCCCTATGATAAGCACGCTGGTCACGGCGCATTCTGGCAGCAGAGTCCTTCTCAAATTGTTCACGAGGATTGGTGTAGGAATAGGCATCATAATCATCAATGTCTTCTCCTTTTCGAAGACCCCCGGTCGGCGGATAACGCCAGCGAGGACTGTGTTCATAGGCCGGGTAGGCACTGTGGGGGATCCGTGCCATCTTGTCCGTCAGGTCTAGACGGCCAGTATCACTTGCATAATCGGTGCTGGAAGGCTGATGACGTCGGTGGTGTCTGTGCGAAGTTGCGGGCACCACGTAGCGGTCCGGGGCTCGCTGCGGGCTTGGAGACCGGTGATGACCCGGAACTATCACAGGAGAAGCCCTGGATAGAGGCGAACCAGAAGCCTCATATCGACCGGGAGCATACTGGATTTCGACGGCGGATGCGGTATTGCTCCTCTGCCTCGGGCGGATAGCGTATTCAGTCCGTAATTTGGTCGAGTGGCCGGGGTCACGGTACGTTGTTGAGGAAATCGGTTGTGCCTCCAATCGCGGCTCTCGCACATGTCGTAAATCGTAGGATGGGATGTAGTTGACATCAGGGTGATAGCCTGAGTGTGTTGAGCGATTGGTGAGATCGTATGGATCGTAGGAAGAACTGAGCTGCACAGTGCCGGTGGAGGCGCGCATGGGATCCATCATACGCGAGCCGTTGGGAGACATGGGCCGGTAACGCACAGCGGGACCCATATTCTGTACCCTTGCAGACAGCAACAAGCGAGATCCGACCGGGAAAACAAAGCAGATGGATGACAATGTAGGTGGTCACAAAAACTCTGTGACGTCCTAGAGGATAAAATGGGAGCAATCAGAGGGGTAGAAATCACTGCCGGGAAAACTAAAGACACGAACAAGAAAAAGAAAGGTTGGTGGATTGGGAAAAGAAAGAAAAAAAAAGGTTATTTTGGGCACCAGGCCAGAAAGCTATAGAAGATGACGATAAAAGCCCGAGGGGCGAAAAGATCTCCAGATAAGACACCAGCACCCGGCAAGCTCGATAGAAGCAGAGACAGAGAAGGAAAAAAACTCAAGTCAATTGAGCTTGATGCCTGAAGCCACAGGCCACCAGACCGAGGACCGGGAGGGCAGGCAATACCTAATATATGGAAGGCTGGAAAGCACAGACTGATGAAACTGGGAAATTTGACAGTGGATCAAGGGGGAGGGGTTGAGAATGACTGAGGGGTCAGTCTCAGTGACAAGAAATTTGATCAGAATGAAATGAAGATTTGAAGCAGAAGAGCACTGCTTACAGCAAAGCACAGTAACCCGGAGACCCTGGAGCTGTGATCGTCACCCGTTTGAGAATGGAAGAAGGTGTGACGCAAGACACTGGAGAAGTCTCCGGTGCACACAAATCAGAGGAAGATTGATACCAATCCACTCCAAGACACACCCCATACAAGAGCGGATATGGACGGAATCCCCACTTGTGAACAAGTGCAGAGAGTGTAGTAGACCACGCGAGTTTGCGATTGTCTGATCCGAAAGATGCTGGCGAGAGGAGGGCGAGGATGAAGACGAAGATGAAGATGAAGATGAAGAAAGCGAAAGAAAATCTAAGTTCTTTCAGGGTAGTAGTATCTATCTGGTAAGATAAGTGATTGAATATACGAGATGAGGGAACAATGGAAAGATGATTGATGGGGAAGGAAGCAAGCAACGGATGGAGTGAGTGGCTTGCTCGAGTAAGCCGAAAGAAGAACTCAATGGAGAACCCGGCCTGACAAGCCTAAGGCAGCCACAGCCGGGTGTAGTGGGAAAACAAAAAAGGTGGAAAATGGCAGGCAGGAAAACGTGCAACCAACCACGGTTGGCCCTCGGCTCTCCCGCCACGGTCCGTGATTGGTTTGAAACCAAGTTTACGCTTACTTCATCTTCATCCACGGGCCAGAAGTTACATTCAAGTGGTTAACTATGGTCCATTCACTGGAGTCGGACTGTCTTGGACACACACACTCTCTCTCTTTCTCTGATTGTCTCGTCCTAGTGGAGACCATCGCGTGTGTGTGCTCCTCTTTTCGAGTTTCTCTTACACTCATGGAATCTTTCTTCCTTAACCGAGAACAATAGGACCTTTCGAGTCCCCATACACACAAGACTACTGTATCAAGTCCCCCACTATCCTCAATTCCACCCCCCTCCCTTCGTTTTCTCTGCCAATTTTCCACAAACTAGGGGGTAGATGGGACACTAACACACTATGGTATGGCAGATTCATTTTCCAATCAATCTTGAAGATTCGAATTCAACCCAACCCTACTCCCATTTCCAGTCCTCGTGCCCGGGCTGATTACCCGGTGCCGTTACCCACCACGTTACAACTTGCCAAGCAAGGAGAGCGGATGACATCACGCCGAACAAGTCTGAGGCCGTCGGCATGTTGCTCATGGCCCCATTCCGGAGCCGACCATCATCAGCCCGAGTAACATTAAAGGGCTGTGAATGGCCCGGACTCATACCAGTGGGGTAGGGCGGGCTTTCTAGAAGAACAGGAAGGCGACCAGTCTGAAGCAGTCCAGCCCAGCGCTCACAGCCTCGCAAGCCCCCCCCCCGCCCACCTCTACGTACACAGTACTCCGTAGAGTAGGCCGAACTTCCACCACTAACACTGGGTACCGTCGATCCAGGGGGCGGTGCTCGATCACAGTTGCTCAATGGATCTTGCTTGCAGTCTATCTGTGTCAACTGCGGACCTCAACACCCGCATCCGCCCCGCGGGTCTTCTCGAACACTGACATTGGTCTTCGAAGACCCAAGAACCGGGAACGCTGTGCCCTGCAGTGGCCCCGGTCGCAGACGCTGCTGTGTCGACCTCGTGGCAGGCCCGAAAAGTCGGCCCTCGAAAGGCCCTGGCCAGTTTCTGCTGTCAAGCAAGTGACCAGGCGAGCATTCACATGCCTTGGGCATATTTCGCCCTCTCTGAAACAACGGCGACCTTCCGCTCTGGTCAAGAGATGGCCCTTGCTACTACCATCACCCACCTCCGACGCTTCATGAATTGCTTCATTAGCCGGCCCGGGTGCGCGATTTACGTTGCGTGCCTCAGCGTCCGTTTTCAACGCCACTAACCGA